GGGGGGGGGGGGGGAGGGGGCTCAAACGCAGGAAGTTTCTGAGGTCGCACTTTGTACAAAGTATAACATACGTGCACATACTCTGTGCATATCATGCGGCGAGCTCTCTCTACTCATGAGACCTTGTGATCACGGCAACCTATTGTAGCCCCCTCTCTCTCAGAACATGAGTGAGTATTCTTCGCTCTTTTACTGCGGGACCCACAGACAGAAATCACGATGCACACATCATGAAAGAGGTAACAGCCTGGCCTTTAGAACAGGCGATAACCACGGAGAGGTGGGGAAGGGTTGTTGGACAACACACGACGAACTTGACGGCAACGGCGCCGAAAACATTCGTTCAAACGGAGTGAAAGAGCCTGGCGGACTGCCGGACTTGAGGTGGGACTCACGGCACACCGCATGGAAAACCTCAACAAAGCAAGAACGCCTCAAGAAGCGGCCGCTCGCTCCCCTCAGCAATGCGCGTTCAAAGGCCTTCACAAAACGAACACCCCCCATGACTGCTGCTCAACTTGGACAGCATTCGGATCACAACAAATTCGACAGCTACAAATGCAGCAGCATTCGGATCACATACATACATTCGACAGCTACAACTGCTGCAGAATCTGTGCCGGATCTACATACTTCGTACGAGTTTAGCAAATTGGCAGGCAATCCACCTTGCGTGCGCGGCCCCACCCGAAAGACACTCGAAAATATACCTCCCTGTGCCCAACTTGCTGTGCCCTGTGTTGTATGGAGGAGGGTTTTCCCCTGGAGCTACAGTTATGTCGTAACCCAACAAGATCCCCTACACCACGCACGTCTGGCCGGGTAAAATCTCGCCGCAGACGCATTCTATTTGTTCCATGCAGTTGCATGCAGCCAAAAACAATCTCTACGCGTTTCTGGACGAGAGAACAAAAAAAGTTATGGTTTTCTATCATCCAATGGGATGAGGGTTGTCACGCTCACGGATGGCATCGGCCACAAACATCACGTACTACGTTATCCAGAGCCTAGGGGGTAAGTCGTGCGGCGTTTGTGCGCGTGCTAGATCTCATCAAGTCAAGCGCGCACACTGCCGCCATCGACGCGGAGAATCCGCTTTGCCTTAGGCGGGACAACTAACCTCTTCCAAGTAAGGCTTTCAAAAACCCTTACAAACACTCAGGTTAAGGTGAGTGACAACAAAGAAAAAGGCCGCCGAAACGTGTAACGCGGGGCCTGGCTGAAAACTCCACCAGTGTTCTGCCCTCAGCAGCAAACAGCCAGCCCTTCACGCAGCAAACACGGCGGCGCAACCACAACACGCTCATTTCCCGTGAAAAACCCCGGCCGGCTACACGCAACGACTCTAGAGACATCGACATATTGATGACGAGATGACAAACTCCCTTGGAATCAATTCCTATAAAGGCTAAAGAGACCAGCGCGCTTTGAGAGCCAAATCAAAGCTGCCATGGAAGCTGTCCAGTGTATGCTGAACTAACCGCCGCAAGCGGTTTTAGTTCCCTGGCGCAAGCAAGTGTTCAAACCACAGCGAACTCTTGTTGCGACGCAGACTAAAACGAAAATAAAAGGCTACAGGTGCACACACTTGGGTCGTGGGCGAAGTTTCCACACGCCGAACGTTGCAATCATGCCCTGGCGAGAGGCATATTTTACCGGCACTCCTTCCGGATCTTACCGC